CTTTTGCTTAATTGAGTCTAGATAAAAGGTAAGATAGCGCAGGATAGTATTCTTGCCCTAGTGTTAACGTGAGACTTTTACAAGAATGACGCCCAGCTCTGATGATGTGCATCATATGATGGACGAAAGCTCATCACGTTTTTACCCGAAATGAGGGAGGAAGTCTCATAGACTGCGTTAACATGAATGTCGTATAAACACTGAATGGCTGCAGTATAACGAGATTTATCCGTCCTCATCTGGTAAGATCGACCAACGAATCTCTTCTACATGAAATTTCATACGAAATAATTGTCTTCCCAACAATTTTATCTCAGGAGATTAATCGAAACTAAGTTTCCCTTTGTATCTACAATGTATGCAAGGTTGGACTTTTATCATTTGTCCATTTGCTACATTATAGCCAAGAAAACTATATCCCGGCAAATTAATAGATTAAGTAGCCTAAGATTGAGCATTTGCTTGTACTCGTTTCCTCAATAATTTCTGGTTGTTCATCTAGGCTGAGTGCTAGTGCTTTAATAGCCTTCTGAACTCAGACGCTAGTATACATTACTATCACATCGAAACCCACCAATAGGTCCTCCTCTCTAATACTCTGTTGAACTATCAATCTAACAAATTCAAATGATTTATTCACTACATATTACCAATACTTATAGTTGTTAAGAGAAACTGGGTTTTGATGAATCTCTTGAGATAATATTGTTAGAGGGACTTTCAGTTCCCCAGAAGTGAATGAAGAAGAGATTCGTTGGTCGATCTCACCAGATGAAGACGGATCAATTTCGTTGTACTGCAACCCTAGTCCTGTCTTTCCTTAGAGGGTTAAACGTTAATGGCCATAGACTGGAAGGTTAGGACAAATGGTTTCGTAACTTGATTTTCATGCTTACAAGTTCATATCTTATTATCTCAACCATACTTTCATGCGATTTAAAAGTCCCCCTAACAATATCAATACTTATCATGTTTCCTTGATTGTATGCATAAGAATCGTTAAATCCCCCCCATCACACTTCCCTTGTAATTGGCAATCAATCTTAAGTGAACTTTCTCCTTGTGTATATTTGGATGGCCATATTTAAAGGTGCAATAGCCTCTCTTTAAAGAAGTAAATTCCTTTTCCGCTTCTCGATTTCTCTCTTTCTTACACAAACGTTAAGCGATTCCATAATTCTGGCATTGAGACTAGTCGTGGGATCCTTTATTAAAAGTTAGTGTTTTCGAGTCCTTGAAATTAGCTAGAATTTTTATATATAACTTAGCCTATTTATAACTATATCTGCCTTTAAAGCAAACAGATTATTTTGGTGCAAATATGCAAAAAACATATGCATGTCATAAGATTTCTTTGCAATAAATAACTAGTCAAAATGAGCAACCCCTTTGCTTCTATACTATTCTTAGCTGCATCTGATAGCTTGTCTATAAAGTGCCAGTGATCATAAGGCAGACAATGGACATGAGATTTTATAGTTTTAAACTTCTCGTTTTGCTGACTATATGTGTAGCAAAAGGTAAAATTAGAAAAGCCATTTAAATAAACCGAATATGAAATACATTGAGCGTGCGGAATACCGGTAAAAAGTTAGGTAAAAACTAGATAGGAAGAGTAAATGAGTTTCGATGAAACTCATAAGATAGCAGTTTTGATACCTTAATTTCGCGTGAAATTAAGTGTCCAGTGTCCTCTGGTACGTTCCAAAAGATCTCGCTGATGCTCCGACCAAGTTGCGAAAACAATATCGAACCAACACTATAAAGCTAAAGGAGACTGCGACCAAACAGAAGGCCACCCCATCTTGGTCATCATTTTCACGATCTGATAATCAAGGCTTTGACCCAAGACAAATCCCTGACCGAGAGTGAGTAAGTACGTAAGCAAGCATGACTGAGATAATGAGATGTAAGCTTGTAAGTATGTAAGGTTACGAAACCACCTGCCATAACATCTCAGTCTAGGGTCATTAAGTAATTTTCATATTATTTAGTTTAAGGTATTGAAGAACTAGCAATTGAATTTTCGCACAAGGTTATGAGTAGAGCTGACGATACCATTGAATTTCACCAAATATTTCTTGTCCAAAAAGCTGTTATCATCTACGAAATAGGGTGAATACATATCATGTAACTGATCTACTAATAGTTTCTAAACCATCCTTATAGACGAAAAATAGATCTGTTTCAACATGCTTGGTCGTAGCATCATTATTTTATTAATGGTGCCAAGGATGGCGAGACTACGTTAGCGGAAAAACGTCTGGAAATGTACCCAGTCAGTAGTCAAGTGCCTAAAGAAATAGCAACAATTAAAAAGTGCAGTAAAATTTGTGAAAACAGAGTGAGACATATTCAATACAACGAAAAGAGACAGCAACCAAAATAGGTCATACTGTATCGGCCACCAAACAATAGATTTTAAAAAATACGATTGTATGGTCCATAAAAATAGTTTGTAAAGTAGAAGGCTTACCAGCCTCTGAAATCTCTTTTGGCTCGGGCTGTTGTGCTGATGAATTAGCGGGACGTTGTCCAAATGGCTGATTGTGAGGCTGACGTTTACGTGCAGCAAGCATTGTGTCGATCCGGCGGGCACGCTCTCCAGCCAGCCACAAGCTCAAGTGATCAAAAAGCGAAAAGACGGTCTGTGCTGCCAACGGATACCAAGTTCGCCAGGGGGAAGGACGCCTCGTGTGGCCATCACCAGAAGCCTCGTCTGAGGATTCAGTAAAAAGTGGGGCTCGTGATTGTCCCTGAGCACTGCTTGATGATGAGGCCTATGAAGCCAAAAAAATGAAAGAAAATGATTCATATCCTAATTTATTTGTGTAAAATTTGATTAACTAAATTCATATCACAATGCATTGATAAAAATAGGCCACAATTTTACAACTAAGCAAACAAACCTTTTTAACACGATGAAACACTGCAATAAAGGGAATCCAGGAAAGTAGGAATGAAAGCAAAACTATATAATTGAGGCAAAAAAAGATTAATACGATCCTAGACTGATAAGAATAAACTAAATAGTAATATTTTCTCTCATGCAATAAAATGCTTAGATGTTTCATCATTCTAAATTATATCTGAGTATGAACGAAGATATGAAGACCAAGATGGTGTGGCCTTTTGTGTGGTCGCAGTCTCCTTTCGTTGTAT